AAGAATTACCACTCGTACACCCCGTCTAACTGTCGCAATTCGTAAGGATTGTACGTTAACAACATTAATATTTAGCAATAATGACAGAACTATCTTTTTCTAATTGACACAGTAATAACCTATACGAAATACTCTATAAACAGCTTTAAAGAATTAATTAAACCATTCAGCTATACACAATAGATCAGAATGTAACTTTAGGAAAACTACTAATAATTTTACCTTAACTGACGACTTATCTTGCATTACTTGTAATTCACCTCTTGAGAAAATTCCTCAATCTTTCCTCAACTTCTTTAAGTGAGCACAGAAAGTCTTAGGGGCACTATTATATACTAGTAAAACTTTAGAAGCCTTCCAAATTGCAATCTCTGTAAAAATTACTGGTACACAAGAAATATATTATAGGCAGATATTCAAAACTTTAAAATATAAGCAAGTACTAATACTAACCTTTGAGCGAACCATTAAATACTATATCTAGGCTTAAACTGAAACTGAATCATTTCAGAAGAAATATCAAGGCGATTTACTTAATTATCTCAATATATCTCTCTTAAGTATAAGTTGTAACTCTTCTCCGTCTAGAATGATTAAATCCCAAATAACCTGCAGAAATAGTACTGCGTCTAAATTGGCAAAAAAAGGTTTGCTCTCTCAGACAGGTTACCTACCTGATAAGACTATCATTGCGAACACTACTCTAAGTGAAAAGGATCCTAATAAACGAACATTAAATTTTGACAACTCTACTTTTAGCTCTCACAGAGGAACTGGAAAACTATCTAAACTGACCTATACAAGATCTTATAATGAGAAAGATGCAACTTCTGATCAAAAGAGTGTTCATTTTTCATGCTCCTTTAGGCCAAAAACTGATTATTTGCGAGATTAACACAAAGATAAAAAGTTGAAAGACAAGAGAACTAGTAAACTAAAGAGCTGTTGTTCTATGATAGTTCTTTGTCTTCTTCTAGTTCTGATTCTAGTAGTTATAATTCTAATGACGATGAGAATAGAACCCATTTGATGAAAATAGTACAAATTATCAAGACGAATGAAACTTCTTCCAGATGATGAAAGGATTACAAACTGTCTTTAAAACTGTTAGATTTAGCGGACAATAGGAAGCAAAATTTGTAGACTTACCAACTTTTAAAGGAAGAGATCAGGATCCTCGTAATTGGTTAAAACGATATAATAATGCTGGAGATGTAAATGGAATTTCAGACAGATGACGTCTTACATTAGTCCCTTCATTCCTAAAAGGATCAACCCTCACTTAGTATAATAAAACTAAGAATGAAAAAGATTTGCGATATTGGGATAATTCGACTGATCGATAGTATAAGCATCGCTTCTTTATCTATCACTTTTTGAAATATTACTGTATAACTCATCAGAGAACGCAATGGCATTCAAAACTTAGACACTATAAACAACATTCTAGACAGTCAGTTGAAGATTACGCCGCTAATATTGAATTATTATACCTTAAATTAGACCCTAACTATAATACGCCAGAAGATGAAAAAATTGAGCCATTTTTATAGGGGCTTCATCCAGAATTTCATACTGCTATTGCTGCTGTTGCACCCTGTGACTTAGAAGAAGTAATTGATCAAGCACAAGCTATCAAAGCAGTATTATTTAAGGATAGTATACTTTCTGAGTATTCTTTAAGCAAGGCATATCTGAATCAAAAAGATGACGATGCTGTTGAAAATTCTACTGCTACTTCTGACATTTAACAACTTATTGACTGAAATAATAATAAACTGATAAAAGAATTTAAGCAATTATTAACTATCTCGAATACTATGCCACATACTCAAAACATTAGCCTACACCCAACTAATATAAATAATAACTGAAGGAATAATAATAGTAATAATAATAATAGTAATTAAAATAACTAAAATTGTTATAATTGTGAATAATCTGGTCATATTGCTAGGGATTGTAGGCAAAGAAATAATTTAGGAAGTCAGAATAATAATGGGAATAATCAATATAATTTGACTAATAGGTCTAACACAGGGAATACTTGTCATAGTTGTCACCAAAAGGGACATATTACCAGAAACTATAATAATCTGTCAAGAGGATCCTGTCCGTATTGTAGACAATTTGAACATTAGGGATATGTATGCCTAACTAGAAACATGAATAACCTTGTTGGAAATACTGAAGGAAATGTTAATATGCCAACTGGCTTCAATATTGTGCAATATACTGCATTATCACAAACTACACCAATGTATAACACAGGCTTTACTTTACTGTCACAAACCTCTATGATATTCCTTCTTCTAAACCTATCGCCAACAAACATCCAAAATCCGTTTGCCTCTTCGTCCCAGTCTTTAAACTACTGATGGTACTTCAGAAGGGTGAACATACTAATAAAAATATAAACCCCTCAGAATTACTAAGAGCTCTAAAAACAGTTTATTGTAATATTACTGTGGACAATAAACTAATATATTTAATATTAGATTCAGGATCAGCTGAAAGTGTAATGTTTAAATTCTTTCTATAATAATTAGGCGAAAAATTGAATCAGCTTTTACTATCACAATGATTAATATATAAGGAGGATGATCACAACCTTTAGGGTGAGTCACTAACATTCTCTTGTAAATAAACGGCATAGAAGTCCCTATTAATGTGAACATCACAGAATCAACTGATTATTATATAGTAGCAGGCAATAATTGGTTTACTAAATTTCGAGGATGACTTTATTAGAACTGTCAAAAATTTACATTTTACTGAAAAAATAAAGAATATTAGATACTTATGACCTGTTGGGAGAAATCACAGTTCAATCATTTTCAGCAACCTGTCGATATTATCAAAAATCCTTTTGACGAAGAGTATGAAAATGAGGAATTGATAATTCAATGATATTATATGATATTGGAAGATCACAATGACTCTTCCTTTGGCTAAAAGTAATTCAAAACAAACTTTAGTAGATAGACAGAAATATTCACCTAATACTTTAAGAGTTTAAATCAAAAATTTAACGTTCAACTATCCAAAGGTACTAAATAGAAGTATCATTGGCAAGGACTGAGAAATCAATGTTGGTATCATAATAAATTAAATGAAATTGATGATCACTGTCAGCTATGTAAGAAGGAATAGGATCACTGGCAACTACTATAAAATATTCCAGATGAACCACTATTTTGTAAAACAACTTATAAACATCTTAATGGACCTTAACAGCAACAAATTATTCAATTTATATATAAAAATGATGATGCATTCACTGAAGATCTATCACAATTAGGACATAAGATGATTAAGATGATTAAGACATATCATATATCTGTAAAAAATCTAATGCTTATATGATAACATGCATATAGAGTAACACTCTTAGAGCAAGAATTTATCAAAGATGAAGTTAGTAGAATATTAAAATACAACTTGATACAACCCTCTGAAAGTCCTTAGGTTTTACCAGTTATTTTCATCTGAAAGAAGAATAGAAAACTTTGGTTTTGTATTGATTACAGGAAACTTAATAGCGTTACTCAATAAGATGAACATCCTTTGTCACGTATTGACAAACTCCTAGATATGTTTGGAAAGGCTAAGTATTTTTCACATTAGATTTAGCCAGCAGATATTAGCAAGTTACTATAAACCTGAATGACCAAACCAAAACAGCTTTTATAACTAGTCAAGGACTGTATGAATTTAAAGTAATGCTATTTAGATTAATAAATGCATCTACAACTTTCTAATGTTTAATGAATAAGATTTTTAAAGAAGAGATCAGACAGTTCATAGCTGTATATCTTGATGATATCATTATCTTTTCAGATACCTTTGATTAGGGATGAGCATTAATTAACCTGATTAATTAACTGCAGTTAATTAACCGAGGGATAATTAATCATTTTGGTTAATTTTGAATTGACCAATCAAATCAAAGAAAAATTGACCAATAAAATTGATAGATTAATATAGATAATAGATCATCTTTTTTTCATTTAACGTTAATGTTAATATTTATCGAAAGTTTAATTTTGAATGTGTAAATTTTCCTTTTTTAACCTTTTTAATATATAAAATCTAAAATCGCGTTAAATAGCTTTGCTTGTTCTTTTTATTCTCCTTGTTCTTATTATTTTCAACTTATCAAATATTTGATTTATAAATAAAGTCAACACTTTTTGAAGTATATTTTCAATAATTTCTTTGGTTTTTTTTATTCAAAATGGTAAAAAAGAAGGAAACTATTTAGAACTATTGGACGATTATTACACAAAGTTTAATAGAAAATAATGAGATTAAACCAAGTTTACATTCTTCTGTAAAATGTAATTATTGTTCTAAAGTTTTCAATAGAGCTGTTCCTTTAAGAATGCAAGCTTATCTTAATGAGTATTTAAATGCACCAAGTAATGCTAAATTACAAAAAACCATTCCAATACAAAATCCTATACCTTTGAATATCACAGAATATCCTTTAACTAATACAAATACACCTCTTATTAAAAAAAATAGATATAAAAAACAAATTAAATTAGATAATTTTGTTGATAATATGAAGGAAGAAAAACAGGAATCTCTTGAATTTTTACTAACTCAGGCATTATATTCAGGGTCAGGGTCAAGGACAAAATCCTGGAATATCCTTCCTTACATCTCAACATTTTTCATGATAAATTAATAGTGATGAATATATTATTATTATACAATATGTCATTAGTTTATTAAGTACATCATCAGAATATTGCACTCTGATATTTATATAGAATAAGAAATGGAATGGAAATTTTAATGATTACAACTTTATATTTTATTATATGTATAAATAATGAGTTTGTTTAAAAATTGTTACATAATTTATATATTTAATTTATTTTTACAATTAATTATTTTTTATCATTATATATATTTTTTGCTTTAAAAATAAAATGTTGAAACAGGAAAAAAAAAAAGATAAAAATATAAAAAAAAAAAATTCAAGGATCTTTTTAAAGCTTGTTTGACCAAGGTTCAAATTCTTTCATCCAAGCTGTTATTTTATCAACCAAAATAGTCTTATGTTTCACATCTTTATAAAGATGACCAGCACCTTGAATGATCATTAAATTATGATATGGTTTGGGACCAATTAACAAATCATAAGTGTATGATCCTTCTAAAGGACAGATTTCATCCTTAGATCCATGAACTGTCAACACTCTTACTTTTCGTTTATCAATATTCTTTACAACTGACATATCTAAACTTAATCTCGCATTCATATCTTCTTGTCGAATGACATAATCTTTTTTACGGCGTTTAAACAAAACAAAAGATCCCTTTGTTTTTAATTCCTCAAGTTGTTCCAGTTTAAAGCGGGGTGTATTGTCGTATCGAGCTGAAATATTTATAATTAATGGAACATCAGAGTATTTTGACGCGTATAAAAGCGTCACTACCGCTCCTTTACTATGACCACAGATGCATAATACTTTGCGTCCGAGTTTCTCTCGAACATATGAAACTATACACCGAACATCTTCAACTTCTACTTCATAATTCCCGTAAGCTTAATGAAAATGATTTTATTTTGAGAAATCGTTTTCAATTTTTGCATTTCAAATGAGAAAAAAATAAAGATTGTCAACCTGTTGTCCCTTCACTTAATCCGTTTCCTTGAAAATCAAAGGATAATGTGTGATATGGAATTCTCTCAACCACGGTACGAACGGTTTCTGAAAGTCGTGTGTTTAAAAAGCCGTGACACACAATTACGATACTCTCACAAGGTGCATTAGATTTTAAGCAAAGTGCGGCACTAAGGTTAAACCCTTTGCCAGTGTCAACTTCAAAAGTGGTTTCTTCCATCTGTGAAATGATATCTACAATTAATGATTTTATGATTTATGTCGCAGCAACCCATGAAACCAACCAATAAACTGCATCCTATAATACTTAATCGTTTCAATGTATTTCAATATCCTTTGTTTTTTTTTTATGGATTTTTTTTTTTTCAATTAAAAGGTGTGCTCTTTTTTGTAAAAAAAAAAGCCGACCAATCTTGGGAACAAATCAAATCACCATTAATGTCCGAGCTAATCGCAAAACCTGAAGTTCACCAAGCAAAATGGTCAGGCTTTCATAAAAAGACTTTGCATGAACGTCAAACTCAACTAAAGCTGGTCTTTCCACGAGTCTTTACTTCATCAGGACCTTCTAGTTCGGTCGTCTCTTCTGTATATGTTACACCTAATACTTCTCCATGTAGCTCACCTATATCAGTAGATTTTTCTTCCGAAATAAACGAAAATAAAAATTCTTTCTCTACACTTAACAATAATAATCTTAATAATTTAATAAATAAATTAGAATCCGTAGCAAATAATGATAAAAAATCGTTTCCGATTAATGGGCTTGATGAAAATATAGCGGATAATATGATTGAAAATTGTGTGGGTATGTACATACATATTTTAAAAGTGAAGTTGAATCAATTTTATGCACTGATCAACTCATTCCGAAATTTAGAACTATTGGATTACCGGTTGGTTTGGCCTTGAATTTCATAATCAACGGAAAACCTATAATAATACCCATGGCAATTGAAGAACCATCAGTTATCGCGGGAGTTTCTGGGGCTGCTAAAACTGTATCTGCTTATAATGGTTTTAAGGCAACAGCTCCTGTGACAAACATTATAGTGGCTCAAGTCTGTCTTTTAGATATTTCACAAGAGAATATGAATTCTGCCATAGACAAGGTACGTATGTAAAAATTTTTTGAATTCTACAGATCTTTCTAAAACTAACTTAACTTGATTCTTTAGATATCACGAAGCAAATCTGAAATTATTAAACGTGCAAATAACTATTGCGATAATATGGTAAAGCGGGGTGGTGGTGTATTAGATATTAATGTTCGAAGAATACCACGCAAAGCCAATAGAAATCGAAAACATTTCACATTAAGTTCAGCCAATTTCAGAGAATGGTTAGTGGTTCACATTACGATTGACGTTTGTAATGCTATGGGTGCAAATTGTGCTAGTACTGTGGCGGAGGGCGTAGCTCCATTCCTTGCCGAACTTTCTGGTGGTCGAATTGGTTTACGAATCGTTAGTAATTTGAATGTGGAAAGGATGTCTAAGGTAATTAATTATCAACAGAAATATATTCTCTTATGTTGCTCTAATTAAAATTCACACCCTCTTTATAGGCGTCATTTCGTATACCTTTACCTATGCTTGCATATAAATCGTTAAGTGGCAAAGAAGTAGCTGCACGCATTATCGAAGCTTATGAATGGGCAGAAGTTGACCCTTACCGGGCAACAACTCATAATAAGGGAATCATGAATGGAATTGATGCAGTTGCTATAGCTACTGGTCAAGATTGGCGTGCTATTGAAGCCGCTGTTCATGCGTGGGCTTGTGATGGTGTAAGAATTGATCTTGATAATTCTCATAATTCTCGGTCTGATAATAGTTATAGACCTTTAACTACCTATTGGATTGAAAAGGATGAACAGTTAGCTGCAACAGGCAAGAGCGATGATGAATGTTTAATGTTTTGTGGCGAACTGGAATTACCTATAATGGTTGGTACCGTTGGTGGTGTTCTTAAAACCAATCAAGTATATGAATATAATTTGGGAATAATGGGAAATCCAAATTCGCGAGACTTAGCTATGGTAAATTCCTTAAAAAAATTTGACAAAATAAATATTTAATTTTTTCTTTACTAAATAATTCATTTATTTGATCCTTAGTCAATGGCATGTATAGGTCTTGCTCAAAATTTTGCAGCTCTTCGTGCATTAGCCACAGAAGGTATACAACGTGGACACATGAGCCTACACGCAAAAAATGTTGCAATTGCGGCCGGTTGTCCGTCGCATGCCGTCACAAGTGTAGCTCAAAGAATGATTGAAAAAGGAAAAATAACTCTATCATCAGCAAATGACCTTGTTGAAGCCCATATGAGTGAACAAGTACAATGCGTTTATA